ATCTTAAACTAACAAGTTATTTTTAAGTTCTCGAATATACTTAATTTGATCTATTAGGGCTCCATGACTACATAGTTTCGACTAAACGAGCTCGAGTTTGATAAGAAAATAGTAAAAATAAATTCGCGAATGAAAAATATATTTCAAAACCTTAAATAAGTACATAAGATTAAATGAAATTAATTAGAATGCCCCTAGAAAACACTTGTTTTCAATCCAACAATTCTTACTGGCATTATTAGTTCTGAAAATCAGCTTCTTCGAATATGGCGAATACTTTTAGTAACTTTTTCCTGAAGACTCACAATCTTTTAGCGCTTTGTACTTCGTTTAATCGGTAATTAGCTAACGAGAGTTTTATTTCTAGGTTCTTTGTATATATCGATTATAATATTATTGTTGTCCGATACAACGATGTATTAACTATTGCGTTTCAAATGTGTTTATTTGATTTTATTGGCGTAGATTTATGGTCACACTTATATACAAATATATATGCGAGTATGCTGCAGGCATATCTATCTACACAGGAAATATACTTGTATATAGTATAGCGTTTGGTTAATATCAAAGCGTTTGGCTTTTTTTATTGCCAACCAATCGACTTCTTTTAAGTAAAAACATCGATTTAAACATAAATTTGCTCAACTTTTTGCGTTTGATGTTTTGTTGCTTTATTCAGTTTTTTTTTATTATTTTGTATTACTTTTTTTCTGTTTTATCACTTGTTATTATGCCTTTCTTGGAATTTCCCGAACATAAATTGTATGCCAGTCACTGTTTTCTGCATAAATAAAGTTTACTGTGACTTTCGTTTGCTTTGCGAAAGAAAACCAAAATAAAGACAAAATTCTTCGAATTCATCTGTTTTATGAAGTCGCTTAGTTTGTTGTTGCTGCTGTGTTTTATGGGCGTCTGCAAATATTTGCTAATTAATTAGCATTGACTTCGCATAACAAGCGCGCACACACCCACTTAATGTGTACCACATATAAATCAAAATAATATTTCAAAATGCCACATGCAGGCAATCAGAATTTTTTGAGGAAAAAAAAATTAGAAATTGCAATTTGCTTGCAAGGGGACGCATTGTTTTAATTTCTTTTTTGTTATATTTTTTTTTAATTTTTAATTTTTTTTCTTTTCCATTTAATTTTTGCCTTAAATCGAAAAAAATCTCCTTTGACTTAAGCTTTTACTCGTGAAAGTGATAGAAATGTTGGGTCGCACCTTGTTTCAAAAAGTGACTTAAATTTAAGGATGATTTACTGGGAATTTTTAATTTTAAAATGTTTTAAGCTTATTGAACATTTATATTTGAACCATCTTTTTCTTATTATAATTTTTATTAATTCTTTTAATTCTAAAATTTTTTTCGATTTTTTTACATTGTTAGAACATATATAATGTTGTTAAACATATAAATGAAATTATTATTAGTAAATTAGTTTTTTTTAATTTTTTGGACCTTCCATAAGTTTTTTTAAATTACATTTTTTATATTAGAATCGTTTCCTTATAACCTATCTTCTGATAATATTTAGCAAATAAATCCAAAATTACACGCCTTTCAGTTTTTTTTCAACAGCTATGTAGCATTACCCATCAGCATCAAAGACCTAGTCCTACAGTGTCTTTCGTGTACTCGTCGTTTATCTCTGTGATTATATTACTCCCCCTCAAACAGCTATACTAACTTCTATGTGCTCAGAACTGTCACTTAAACATTTTTACAAACATGCGAAGAATATAAACAGTGAATAGTTCAAAGCGTTGCCGAAAGACAAATCTATTTCGAGCTTGTTCTTTAATTTGTGGGAAATCAAACTTTGCAGCCTCGACATTAAAATTACTAGTCAGCAGCAGTTGTGTTTTGCGGCTTATCAGACTGTTTGACTCTCATTTTTTAGTTTTTGGCAGAAGACAAGCAAATAATGAAGTGTTTAATTATAGAGTTGCCAGATGAAAATTAAAATTTTGGGTGTATAACAAGCTTAGTAGTCTAATAATCAATTTTTCGTAGATAAAAATTGCTAAATAGCTAGCAATTCTAAATCTATTGGACAAAAAATAAAACAAGGATCCCAAAAATAAAAATTATTACTTTTTGCTTAGTAAATATATATTTTCATTTTTGAAGTTTAGGGTTAAATTTTAAAATATAATATATAAAGTTGCTAAACATATATACCAATGAATATATTTATGCAAAAATTTATATTATTACAAAAAAACAATTAAAAGAAAAAATTGGCAATCCTTAACTGAATCTAAAAGCCGCTCACAAGTGCTGTCAATCAAATAGTTAATTAAATTTCAACAAAACATATCTTAATGTGTGTGTGATGATTGTTGATGAAATGACAGACCAATCTAGACATAAAATATACAAGTGAGCACCACTAGTCATAAGATATAAGCTATAAATTCATAAAGGCATCTGCTAACTCAGCCTTAAGCCTGTGAAATAGCAATAAAGCTTAAAAGATTTTGAAATAAATAAAGCAAGAAAGATAAAAAAAAAATTATCTCAAAATATTTTGCAATATGTATTCTTGTGAGGACCTATGTTCTATCTAGATACACATTTAAAAAGGGTTGAATGCGCTCCTTCCAATAGCCTCATTTCCGTTCCGCTATCAAAACTTTGTCTACTTAACTATATTGACATTCATATGCCTTTTTATTTGCCGCATCAACTTCTCTACAAGAACATCTTTGAAAATATTTACAGTTAGTTGGCACCTTCACAGCATGCTTATTTACCTACGAGTTTTACAACTTTCTTTCAGCAGTTCTGCGCCAAGTTTACTCCGTTAGGAAAATTAAAAATTTTATTTACAAACTTCTTTTATTGTACAAATTATTGTCACATGCACTTAACTTTAGTGTTGTATCTTAGACAACAGTACTTATATTCCATTCACCTTCTAAGATGAGGCCCCTGTTCGTGAATATTTACATTACGCGCAAGTATTTACTTTATCTCACTGTCTTTGCTCACACTTTTGCTATAAATACAGAGTCATATACCGTCTCTTCTTAATTAAATTATTTTTTTTCCAACTTTTTATTACTTTTGTTTCGTTTTACACGCCGCTAAATTAATCAAACAAAGGGAGGCGGCGAATATAGCCTCCCACTAGCTGACAAGTAGTTTAAATATAGTTTATGCACAATTTACCGTAAGCGCCGTTGTCCACTTGTATAGTTTCTTTACAAATTTTAAGTGACAGACTAGTGTAGAGAAACCCAGCAAGTTTAATTTGTATTAAAAGTTTTAGAACTAGTTACGAAATCAGTCTCTTATACAACCAAATATAAAAAAAATGTGATAAACCAGGAGAGAATTACAAGCTTAAATAAATTGTCTGTCAAAACTCAAATCACATTGATTACATAATTGCTTAAACACTCTGGTGAGAACCAGTTGTTCATAAACACCAAGCATTAAACTCGTGTTTATGACGCAATGCAGTTTTTGTGACAAGGTAGATACAACCCTCTTTGGCAACAATATTTGCTAAAAATTAACAATTAAACTCAGTTTTTATCAAACTCGAGTTATTCATTATTCTGATATTCAGGACTCAACTTCCATATATTTTTATACGTAGATGTTACAAAAAATATTTAAAAAAAAAATTATTGAAACTCAGTGTTTCTTAAACTCGAGTTATAAATTACACACGTGTGTAATAGGCGCGTGGCAGCAAGTAAAAAATTGAAAAACACTTTCCTCGCATTATATCTACTATGCCGTGACGCGTTCGCTTATCTACACATTTATTTGTTGTCAGCGGCAGCTTTGTATTTTATTTTCAATTTATCATAAATACTATAACGGCTTATGCGCAAACACATCTACTATATACGAGTACATATGTATGTGTGTGTAACCCTTTATTTACGCGCATAATTAAAAATTCACAATTTTAATGTGGCTCTACTTAAGTCTATAATCCAACGTGCATTTCCAAGCTTTGCAGTGTTTTAGCCCCTCACCATTCACCATCCAACAGCTACCTCCACCATTCGCCTCACCTTCATCTTCTCGTTCAACTGATTCACTTGTTTGCCTTTGTCATGTCATTTTGCTTATCGCTACGCTTTAATTGTGGACACTTCTTGAAATTTATTGTCTCAACGCTTACCGTTGTTGTTGTTGCTTTTATTAATATTACATTTTAGTATTTTTCTTTGGCTTGTTGTTTACGCATATTTTTTGTTGTTCTTGTAAGTATTTCACTTCAGCTGATTACTTTTCGTGTTTAATTAATAATTTAAATGCAAATATTTATGCAAATTAATTGAGTGAGTTAAGTAAATGTTGTCGTAGGATGTAGTTGTGTAGGTTAATATACATGCATAAATATAGAAAAGGTAGAGGTGAACGTTGCAAGTGGGATAGTACAATAAAATATGATGAGGCTGTTCTTGAAAGGAGTTTACATAACAGTATGAATGAGTCATAGCTGAAAATTTGTTTTGTATTTTTGTTTTAATTGCCACTAACTCGAGTTTAATGATGCAACACAATTTTTTTTTGTTTTTGGAGATATTCTCTGAGTTATATTTATTTGTCTTTACAAAAAATTTTGTCGAAAGAAAATTTTTGGATTAAACTCAAAGTTTCTCAAACTCGAGTTTGTGGGATCATTTCCAGTTTTATATAAAAATCTGTTATAAGAAAAGTTTTTACAACAAATTTGTCAAAAGAAGAAGTTGTGCATTGGAGTTCCTTGAACTCGAGTTTAAAACTTTTTAACGAATTTTTTTTTCAATTTTTTTTTTTAAGTTTTAATGCTGATACGTCTTGTTTTTATAAACAAATTTTGTCAAAAGAAAAGGTTTTGGCTTAAACTTGGAATTTCTTAAACTCGAGTTTATAACTTTCTAGCTTAATTTTTTTCTCTACATATGTATTATGTCTGTAGTCCATTATCATTCCACTTAAAACACTAAATAATTATTTTTTTTCAATACTCTTCTAATTACAGATCTGCAAATTTCTACTTAACTTATCAAACGCAAATGCCGCAAAGTAATTAAACTTTCAACAACGACAAAATGGAATTGGAAATGGTGAGTTTTAATACTTGTATAGAATAATCCTTACAAATTCCATTAACAAAACAATTAACAAGCCAAATTGACAATAAACTATTACCGCTAAAGAGAGAGGGGGGACTGCTTAAACTTGCAACCAAAAAGTGGCCACAAATCGCTTTTCACGTTGTAGTGCTGCATAGAATAACATTTAAATACGAATTTAACACATTTCAACTTAAATGGTCAGAACGAATTCAATTATACACAGTGCTCGAGGTGGAGACACACATGCACACATACATACATACGGTAGGTGATGGTAGAGAGAAACTAAAAAGTGCTCATACATGCTCAAGTATCATTTACACGTCAATATATCTTCTGAAGTTCAGTGCTATGCGCATTAAAGCCATAATGGCTCATTTACAATACTCGAGACAGACAGCCAGTGGATAGGCGAAGCAGCGCAGCGTTTGCTGAGTGTTCGAAAAATGCAATTCCATTCCCATTGCCACATGCAATTTCAAGTTTAATGCCAAAAGCATGCCTGTATGTATATGTGTATATATTTTTATTATATGCTTGGCTTTCAGCGGCACATAAAAACTGCCAGCAATGTGCTGTCCACTCTTTTGACCCTGTATGGCACCTAATACATCCGCTGTGTGTGTGTGTATTTATGGGAAATACAATTTCTCAATTTCAGACAGCACGGCAATCAAAGTGATCCACTCATCAGCAACTCGACCGCAACAGGCATCATACCGCATGCAAGTTGGCTTCAGCGGCGTGTATATATTTATATACTATGTCAATAATATATAGGTGCATATGTACTCACAGTTTATTCAACCAGCTCCACTTACAACTCGGGCTGCTTCTAAGCTAACTTATAAGCTATTTGCCTATTTTGCTGCAAATAAGTGTTGCTATTTTGCATTTCTACTCTTCTTGCCCAGCACCGCTGTTGCAAATCTGCTGAATTGCCAGCAAAAATCAAACGGTATATTTATGTGGTTGTATCCACAACTCATGTTGTTGCTGTTGTTATTACCCACAAGCGACTTGTTGCCCATTGTTAACACTTTGCTTTGACTTTCGGCTATCGCAAGTTCAAGTCGACCCTCACTTTGATGCTTTGTATTTTTTTTTCGCTGCTTGTTGCAAGTAAATGTTTATATAACTTTATTTTTTGCGCTTTTGAAACTTTGTTTACTATTTTTTATTTTTATTTTGTTATTTTCTTATATAATTTTTTATTTTTTTCTCATATATTTTTTTCTTACACAATTTTCTCCTTTTCTTAAAAATTTATTTCTCTGCCGCATTTCATTTTCTTTGCTTTGTGCTTGCAAATTTTTCTTTATTTCCTTTACTTGCTGAACACATTTGCATACGTCCCCCTCTACAACGCCACTACCCCTCAACAGCCGTTTTCAAAACGCAACTGTAGTTCCCTTTTAGTCCAAGACAAGCCACATTTTGACTACCTGCTTGCCACAAGCTATTCTACGCTGCGCTGTCTCCTTACACGTTATCACCTTGCTCACCAACTCCACAGCATTGCATAACCTTGTAAGCTAGCATCCAGCCAACTCAACACTTTAGTACTCGTTGCGCTTCAGCACTTTAACTTTAACGAGCTGTTGACTTCTTTCTTCAAAAAACGAATCGCCCGTCCTTCCTGCCGGCATTTGCAACGTGCCACTGCATCTTCCTTGACTCCACAACCAACACCCTGTCTTTTTACCCTGCTAGTTAGTTTGCGTTAGCACACAGCATCCTCAACGTCGTTGACACGACTTGCAGCTGTGTTAGCCAAGTTGTCTGCTCATTCTTATTTTGCTAGTTTTTGTTCAAGGTCTTTTCTTCTTGCCACTCTTATTGCTAGCTGGCTCTTTTGTGTTACCCAGATACACACACACATACATATGTACTTCAACTTTGTTTATAGCTTCGCCGGTTACCGGTTAGCTCAGTCGTACCTGCTGTCTGCTGCCGACTGCCTACTCTCATTCCAATTGCCATGGCACATTGCCTGGTTGCTCGACTCATCTCTTCAATCTTCAATCTTGTTTAGCCTTTTATTCTCCAGCATACAACATCATACTCATAGTGCCGTACCATAGTTTTGAGCCTTGTTTCTTTCTTCATTCTCGTTGTGCGCTCGTAAATTTTATGTTGCCTCAGTTAATACTCGCATGCAACATGCTGGGGCGGCTTTCAAGTGTTTATCTGTTTGTCTGCTCCATGCTCGTTTAAGTCTAGTTAGCATCTTTATGCTTCACCCCTCAGCTGTCGCGGTCTCGGTCTCTGTGTCGGTGTCTTCACCACTTGAGTGCGGCTTCTTCTTGTTTAGTGTTTGTGCTATGTCTGATTGCTTGTGTTGAGATAAACCTGCACGACATGTAACTTCATATGAATTTAAATTTTCAACGATCCAAACTATTAAATCCATTTGAAATAAAATATAATACAATTTTGGTATGAATGCGCGAAAAAAATTAAAGAAAACTGAGCTTTTGTGGCTAGTTAGATTCCAAAGAGCTCTTGTCAGAGCTAAATGATACTTTAAAGTAAGTCATTCTCTTTTTTAATAATTCGCTTAAAATATCAGCAGGAAGAGGGTTCACCTCAATATGAGCTAGCATTCATTTGACGATTCATTTGATGACTGAAGGCTTCGTTAGTTGATAATTTCTCGCTGCATTTTAATATTTCTATAAGTTTTTTTTCTGATCTACTTCTTTAATACTTGTTAAGGTAGTATTTCTAGAGCAAAATTTAATTTCTTCATATGTTCTCAAAACAGGTGGTCACAAGTTTGCTTATATTGATAGAAATTATAATAATTTAATTTACACTTGTAAATAATTATTTACTTAAAAAAGTAACTCCTTTCAAAGAGTTTGGCTTACATCAAGAACAAAGAGTTACCTCAAAGTTTTCAGCAGCTTAAATTCAGATCATAGTTTTAAATGTTTTTCGGAAAATTTCAGTTTAATAAATACCGCATATATTTCTAACCAATGCAGAAAGAATCCCTCGAGGAATATTTTTGAAGAAGACAAAATATTGCTTTGAAATTATGTTTTCTTAAAAAAAATTATATTTGAACATACGACATCAATAGAATTTTCTGGATTGTTCAGTCTCCCAAATCTATAAGGAATACTTGCATTCTCAGAACACTTACCAAACCTATAAACATATCTAGTCGGCACTCTACACTCAAATATATTGTATATCTATATAATAATACCGGCCTTAATGACGCTCTGTTTCTCAACATTATTGTTTTACACCTACACAATCGCGACTGTGACCCTTTCAATCTGTCATCTACTAGACATTTTTTATATCACTCATGTATGTATGTATGAGTATATAAAAATATACGTACATAGCTGAACTCCGATTACACAGCGCACAGTGGCGGATTCCTACATACAAACTTATATATACTTTGGTGCGTTTCGGAATGTTCAAAAACGCATATTTCGAAATTACTTAAGCAGAGCAGCTAGCATACATAACTTACCACATGCCACATGCTAGCGACCATTTCAACACGGCATTAGTTGAAAGCTACCGTACAAGTAGAATTAAACAAAAACAAAACACCCAACAACAAATCACCACAAATGACCCAACGTCCCGATGGGTGGTGGTGGGTTGTTTATTTTCACGTGTGACTACCGGACAGCGTGCTGTTGTTTGGAAAATTTGAAAAATTAACAAATAGGCTACTTTGTATTGAAAAATGGCGCACAGTTTGCTTTCGTTGCACATTACGCTAATGCCTGATATCAAGTAGCGTTGTCTATTTTGCCGCAGCTGTGGAGCGTTCCAAAAGTTTTTTCGTGGGCTCTTTGCTATTATTTGGTATCTTCTTATATAAATTTATAACTTCGTTTATGTGTATAAATAATTTAATGAACAAATTTTTGAGGGAAATATTAAGAAATTCTAATGGGAATGTAGAGCATTTGCGTTGCTACGGTTGGCCATCAAGGAATTTGTGTGGAAAGAAATATTTTTGATAGAAGTAATAAATAGTATTTTTATGTCTCCGTTGGAAAGATTAGAAATTGGAACGTTTGAGGGTAAAGGTGTGAAAGACATTTTTGAGGTATGCATGACTGTTAGTAGCGAAGAGGCGCAAAATGATAATGACACGCGTGATTTAATAAAATTAAAATTTATTTCGTTACAAAATTAAAAAAAAAAATTTCAATGCTAAATACGAGCTATTTGAAAAACAATAAAACGAAAAATGTTAAATGTAGGTATATAAAAAAATAATAGCGTAAAACGTTAATTAATCAGAAAATATCAAAAATAAATTAATTCGAAGAAAACTCAAAATATATATTGAAATGTTTTAAAAATATTTTAAATACAAAAATTAAAAAAAAAAAAAATATTTAAAAATTAAAAATTAAGTTCTATTTTAATTATATATATTTTTTTTTAAACACTGTTTTATTTAAATTTTTTCTTCAAGTACATTAAATTTAATCATCAAAGACAGCGCACAAAGCCAAAATAAAGATAAATTATTTTTTTTCATTCATACATTTTTTTTTAAATATTTCGAATTTTTTAAAATTTTTTTTTTAATATATTTTATTTTAAGGAATGTTTAATTTCCTTTATAAAGAGCAAAATTTGTTCAAAATTATATAATATTTTTCAATTAATATATTAAGACATTGAAAATAAAGCCAGTTCTCTATCTCTAAGTTATCTGCATATCTCAAAATAAAAAATCTAGCTTACATTTCAACTGTCTCCTATAATGATTAAATATTATATAATCCAAAATTAAAACAGAGCAATAAGCATTATGTCATCTAAATTTTTACGCCCAGCATGATATTACCTATTTACTGTATACTGCCATTGTCTAGCCGCATTTCACAAGCCAAAAAGTAGGCTTCGACATAAAAAATAAAAATGAAAAAAATCCATTCGTGCCATTTCGAGCAAATGCAATCCGACTAAACATGTCAACGACTTCGTATCGCCCA